AAAGACCTAAATATAAAATCTAAAACGATAAAGATCACAGAAGAAAAACTAGGGACAATGCTAGGAGCCCTAATACATGGCATAAACAGAATACAAACCATAAGTAACAATGCACAAACACCAGAAGAGAAACTAGATAACTGGGAGCTCCTAAAAATCAAACACTAGCAAGTGACCATCTAAGATACATCAATTGGTCCCAACTCACCTGGAGCAAAGGAGAATGAAGAATACCAAAGACAAATGGAAAATATTAGTCCAAGAGACAGAAAGAGCCACATAAACCAGAGACTCCATCAGCTTGAGACCAGAAGAACTAGATGGTGCCTGGCTACCACCAATGACTGCCCTGACAGGGAACACAAGAGTCCCTGATTGAGCAGGAGAACAGTGAGGTGCAGAACTCAAACTGCAGTAAAAAGACCAGACTTAATGGTTTGACTAAGACTGGTGGGACCCTGGAAGACATGGCCCCCGGACTCTTTGTTGGCCCAGAGCTGAAACCATCCCCGAGGCCAACTCTTCAGACAAAGATTAGACTGGACTATGGGACATAAAGTGATACTTGTGAGGAGTGTGCTTCTTAGTTCAAGTAGATACATGAGACTAAATGGGCAGCTCCTGTCCAGAGGCAAGATAAGAATGCGGAAAGGGTCAGGAGCTGGCTGAATGGACACGGGAAATCTGGGTGGAAAGGAGGAGTATGCTGTCACAGTACAGGGAGAGCAACTAGGGTCACATAGCAATGTATGTATAAATTTTTGTATGAGAGACTGACTCGAATTGTAAACTTTCACTTAAAGCACAATTAAAAAAAAAAAAAAAAAAAGAAGCACTTTAATATTCCCCAAGATGTAAGAAGTGAGTCACATTTGAGTCATTCCATTCCCTCTCAGTGGTAACTACTACACTGACAAAAAAACTTAATACCCGGAATAGCATAGGTTGTGGCACAAACCTAAGTCCAGTAAAAGAATAACAACCTGATCTCCCATCTAATGCTAACCTTACAATCTGCCATTTGGGATCATGGAAATCAGATTCTGGAGAACACAAACTTGTTACCTGAGGTTATTAGATTTTATTCTACCATCTCCAAAAACAGGCAGGGGGTGAGAAGGAGGTTGTTGTTAAACAGGTATTATTTTGCATCAAATGTCACAGTTGACATTCTTTTAACTCTTTTATGAAGAGGAAAACTAATAAATCAGCAAATCTAATCTTTCAGTGTTAGAGTTTTTCTTTTATCTACCTGAGGCTACATGTGAAATCAGTTTGGTGACCAGAAGTCCAGAGACCCCAGTAACCAGTTTGTGAAAACTTTTTTTTTAAATGAAACTGACTTCGGTGGAGGGAGAAGCTGCCACTTCCTGTAAATGCCCTAGGGATGACTGTCTTTTCATCATATTTGATAACCAGAATAAAGGGCACAGGCAGAGATACCATAACTTCTACACCACAGCACACTATCTGTGAAACTGAGTTTAGTGAACACGATACAATCAGTCATTGACTTAAAATAATTTTGCCACGTGCCTTCCCCAATGGAAGTTCTATATCCTCAAACTTGCACTTATTATTTAATGTCCAGTTTTTAACTTGCTGAATTTCAATCGAGCTTTTGTCTACTTACTTTTTTCATTCTCTACTAACTGCACTTAAACGTCAAGGTTTTAATCACACCATCATCACTATTACTACACAAGACCATAAGGACCAGTATCTTTGAGACTAAGCAACAGGAAGAATGAGAAATTTCCTGTTTACAAAGTTTTTAGCAATAACCAGTTACCAATGTGCAAGAAACAGCAGCAAATGAGGCAAACTAGTTTTTCTTAATAATGTACTGAACTAAAATTCAAAATGCAGAACATTTTAATAAAGCAAATACTGTAGAAAATTAACCAAGTAATTCATACCTCTGAAAGGAATTTGTTCTGGCCCTGCTTTGCCTTGAATCGTTTAATCTTTTGCTGAATTCTCTTATCTTTTTCCAGATCTTCTACGGATGCCCATTGACAATGAAGGTAAGAGCTAAAACAGTAAAACAATATCCTTAAAACATGTAAAAATAATATTCTCTGTTATCCAAAAAAAAAAAAACAAAAAAACAAAAAAAAACAGCTAAACAGATCATTAACAAAATAGCATGTTTAATTACTTGTAGAGCCTGCTGAGCAACATTCGACATAACCACTAACTTTGGGAATAAGAAATGAAAATCAATAATCACTGTCTAAATTTTGTCTTCAGTCCTGAGCCTCCGGCTCTCTTATCCACTACCCATAAACAAAAGAGAAAAAGATGTCATAGCAAGTGGTGTTCATAAGTGATTGGATTACACTTCAATACAAAGCAGTTAAGCACTACAGGGTGGCCTTAATTATGAATTTATGTTTTGAGCCTTTTATCATTAATTGAGAATAAAAGGTTTTAATAAAGTTAAAAAAAATTCAAATTTAAACCCTTTGAGATAAGAGGTATAGGGTGCCTGTGATGCACACAAGGTCTATCCTACTGGCCCCAAAGGTACACCTAATTTAGTCCTTCTAGAGCAGCTGGGGAGAAAAGGGTCACCTTCATTCCCTGAACACCTACCCATGTTCCCCACTTGTTCCTAATCAGGTCCTGCTCTCCCAGCCTAGGTTCTTCCAAAAGCTCTGAAATTATGCCCTGTGGCCCCTTGTGAATTCTTTCATTATGTAACTCTACCCTGTCCTTGCACCAGGTAAGTCCAAACCCTTCAGATTACCACCCATCTGCTCTGGGCACATGTTGTGCTTTTCCTAACCTTAACTTGAATCCACTCCACCCTCCTTTTTTCTTCCCTGAGACTCACAGGTACATAGTTAAAGTTTTATGGTACCTTTGACATTCTTTTGTTTGGTATTTCAATATACTTTTATACCATCATCCTCTCTCTGTCCCCAGTAGCCTTGATTGTCTCTTATTTCTCTTTCTGGTGATGACATTAAAAAGCAATGAGATGTTCTAGAGCCACAGATGGTGGATGAACCTCTGAAACTATTGCCCTGAGATAATCTTTAAACCTTAAACCAAAAATATTCCCTGAAATTATCTTAAAACCAAACAATAGTTTAGATTAACTAATGAAAAAAGTCTGTCTTGAGCATTAAACTCTTTTAAGAACTATCTATATCAGATCAAACTGACAACAGCAACTGAAAAGATTAGATAGGAACCTTAGGGGGCAGTGAATTTATGTTAATGGGGGAGGAACAACTCAGAGAAGGAGGATGAGAATGGTTGCACGACTCAAAGAACGTAATTAATGTCACTAAATTGTACATGTAGAAACTGTTGGATTAGTGTATGTTTTGCCTTATATATTCTCAACAACAAAATTTAAAAAAAAATGAGATACTTGAATATACAGCTCTTTCAAAATCCAAGTAGTACTACTCTTAAAAATTATGTAGCCATTATAAATGTTAGAAAAATGATTAATGATATGGAAAATGTTTATGACATTGAGAATCACATCACTTATATTTATATAATGTCTAACAGCATTTTCAAAGGTAAGCCTGATTTAGACCTTCTAGAACTGACTGAGGTTAAAAAGAACTACAAACTCAAGTCCTACACAGTATGAATTTATATAAATCCTGTCCACACACACAGAAAATACACTAGATGAAAATGCATCAAAATGTTAATTATGATCAATTCTGGATGGTAAGATTGTAAATATCTTATTTTCTACTTCCAACTTGTATTTTCCAAATTTCCAATAAATAATACATAATACTGCTAAAATCCAAAGCACTATAAAAATAACCTACTGCAGTCTCCTAGGAGCCCTGGGGGCCCAGTGGTTAAGAGCTACAGCTGCTAACCAAAAGGTCGGCAGTTCAAATCCACCAGCCCTATGGGGCAGTCCTACTCTGACCTACAGGGTCACTATGAGTCCGAATCGAGTCAATGGCGATGAGTTTATAGTCTCCTACTTATTGGATCAGAAAAAGGCACATGTGCCATCAGCATTCTTGTCTAGGGTTGTGTGCAAACACCTTTAAAGCACCACTAGTGTGGATGTGAGCTGAAACAGGCACTAACAAAAGTGGGTCCATCCCCAGTCCCCTTCCCGTGAGCCAGGATGAAATTTTCGGGCAGTGGACTCCAGTTTTCAGACCCTGATAATAACTCACCCTGGAGGCTTACTCAGGAGGAAGAGAAAAGATCAAAGGTGGGCTGGTACGTTTTAGTAGATAATTAAGTCAACAAAAAGGTATGCAGTACTGGAGGTCCAGCATTAACAATGTTAAGAAAAATGTTATAAAGCAATAAACAAGAAAAATATTATGAAGCTAATAAGAAATAATCTGAAACAGTTCCTACCAACTGTACAGTTTATAATCACTTTGGAAAATAAAATTTCATTTTTAAACACAATTATTTTTATGAAGCAAGTATATCATTTATACCTAATCCTAATAAAGACAGAACAAAAAAAGAGAAAGAAAATTAAAGACCACATCACTTTTGGACACTGATTCAAAATTCTAAGTAAAATGTTAATAAACATAATTCCACACCACATTAAGAAAACAATACAGCATGACCAAGCAGGGTTTACTCCAGGAATGCAAGGTTGGTTCAACATTAGGAAACCCATTAAAAAAAATAATAAATCTAAGGAGAAAAATCACACAATTATTTCCATAAATGCTAAGAAAGCCTTTGACAAAATCTATTATAGATTTTAAAACTCAGGAAAATAGGAATTAACAGGTAGTTTATTAACATCATAAAATATGTATAGACCTTAGTCCTAAAGCTGGAGTTTTACTAAATGGGGAAACATCACAGGCTTTCCCACTAAGATCAGAAACAAGGTCAGCATGTCTACTATCTTCACTATTATTCAATTTGTACTCAAAGTATTAGTCAAACGCAGTTAGAGTAGAAAAAATAATAAAAGACATTAATAATTAAAAAATAGGAAGTAAAATTATCTCTATTTGCAGATGAAATGATCATGTATCTGTAAAAGCCTAGAGAATCAATTAGAAAACTAATTCAAACTAAAAAATGATTCAAAATGTAGCAGAATATAAAAGTAATATGCAGATATTAACGGCCTTCACTCATACAAACAATAACCAGTTATAAGATATAATGTTAAAGAAAACCTCCATTTACAATACCGACAAAGATAAAATACTCAGGAATAAATTTAATAAGAAATGTGCAAAACTTACATAAAGAAATATTTAAAACACTCCTAAAAGATACAAAAGTATATTTGAACAAATGGGAAAGACATTCTATGTTTTTGAATAGCATGACTCAACATCAAAAATCATAAATTTATAAATTAAACAGCATCCAAATAAAAATATAATCAAGCATTTGTGTATACCTAGACAAGTTAATCCTGAACTTTGTATGTAACAACAAACAGGCAAGAACAGCCGGGGCCGGGGGTGCCGGGAGCGGGGAAAGAAACATTAAAAAAGAAAAGCAATTAGGGGAGTCTAGATTAACCAGATATTAAAATACACTATCAAGCTTCTATAAGTAAAATACTGTGGTACTGTCTCATAAGTAGACAGACAGCTCAAAGGAAAAGAATAAAGTACAGAAATAGATCCAAAGAAATATATAACTTTAGTACATGATAAAGGTTGCATCCAAATCACTGGGCCAAAGATAGAACATTTTAAAAATGGTGCTGGAACACCCATTTGGAAAAGAAGATTAGATCCATACCTTACACCATACACAAGAATAAATACCAAATGGATTAGGCACCTAAACAGGGAACCATAAAAGTACTAGAAGAAAACATGGGCAAATTCGTCTTTAACCCGGGCATCAGGAAATGCTTCTATAACTAAAGCCAGAGGAATAGAGACTGATAAGTGTAAGTATATAAATGCATTTTTAAAGAACTTTCAGAATTCAATATACATCATAAATAAAGCCAAAAGACAATTGAAACTTTGAAAAGATATCTGCAACACATGAAACAGATAAAGAACTAATATCCCACACATACAAAGAAGTCTTTAAAATTGAGAGAAGTACAGTAGTAAAATGGGCAAAAGACATAAATGGATACAAAATGAGGTAAAAAATGGCTATTAAAACTTATGGAATGATATTCAACCTCATTCATACAAGAGAAGTGCTAGTTAAAACTGCACTGAGATACAATTTCTCACAAAAATTAAAAAATAAAACAACACATTATGTTGGAAAGGTTGTGCAGAAATAGGTGCTCTCATGTATTATGGATGGGAATGCAAACTGTTAAAAACTTATGGCAGGAAATTTGTCAAGAGCTAACAAAACATATGCACTAACCTTTCAACCTAGCAATGAAAATACACAGGCACATATCAACAGTAATAACAACCAAAAAATATGTGTATAGTTACATAGGTTGATATGTACATGTTTATGGGAAGACACATGCGAGTATATGCATGTGTAGGTGTATCTGTAGGAATATGCATATACATATCAGTGTTGTGCTGCATATATATCCATATATATAATAAAACACCTGGGGCGCAGATACGGAGACTTCCTAGATATATCCAAACAACTCCAGGGATTGGTTTACTGGGTTAAAAGGCTTAGAATCATAGTCTCAGTCAACTGGCATAACATAGTTCATAAAGATTACGTTCTACATCCTAGTTTGGTGAGTAGCGTCTGGGGTCTTAAAAGCTTGTGAGCAGTCGCCTATGATACAACTATTGGATTCTATTACTCTGGAGCAAAAGAGAATGATGGAAACCAAAGACTCAAAGAAGAAACTAGTCCACAAGACTAGTAGCTCACACGAACCATGACCTCTTCTAACCTGAGACCAGAAGAACTAGATGGTACCCTGCTACCACTACTCACCGCTCTGACCAGAGACACAAAAGAAAGTCTCAGATAGAATGAGAGAAAAATGTAGAACAAAATTCAAATTCCTAAAAAAGACCACATCAATTGGTCTGATAGAGACTAGAGGAACCTATCGTCCTAAGATACCCTTTCAACTTGGAACTGAA